TAGCTTGAAAGAAACTTTGAGAAATGTGCAACAAACCATTGTTAAGGTGAACTACAGATTAGCTTTTGTTTTTTCATACGAGCGCTTTTAAAATGCCCTAATTTGCATAATTTCCATTGGGCCTTCAACCAGGTTGAGGCCAATTTTAAACTTTCCTATTTTTCGCAAAAAAGGAGCTTGGCTGGAACATTTGAATATTGTTTTTGAAAATAGTTTACCAAAACGGTTTTTTCAGTGGAATAAAAAAATTCGAATTTTTTTATCTGGCACCAGATTCTGGATATTTACAGACAGTGGCTCATAAACACAGCTTTTAGTAAAAGACCAAAAAACACTATGTTAAGTGAGGATCACAACAAAACACACAAGAACAGCCCTGTCTTGTTTTGCAAACATAAGTGTTTTGCCACCCTCTTATTTCTGCTGTCCTGTGTTGTGTAAACTCACTAATGTACATGTTGACCAGTTGGATAACACGAAAATATCAATACTTCCAAGATTGTACCACATGTAAGGTCAAATTACAGCAAACACACATTTAAGTTTGCCATAACCAAAACTTGGGAAGAGATTCCTAGTAAGATAAAAACACTTACATGTATAGTAGCTACCATAAGTTCAAATATGAATACAAACGAATTCTAGTTAACTCTCAAAGGAAACAATGTAATATGAATGTTTCACATAAAATGACTGCGGATATAATCATCCATAGTTGCCATGAAACCAAGCGCACATTTTTTTACATATAAATTCCACTCATAATATAGACAGCTAAGCTCCTCTGACTACCGTACACTTCTATCCAAGCTATTGATGTTCTTTTCTCCTTCTTTTTCTTTTTTATTAGTGTATTACTACCTAACTATATATAATGTAAATATTTTATAAAATTTTATAAAAGTGTGAATAAAATTGAATTGAATTGAATTGAATTATTGTTTCATATTTACAACTTCAGATCGTTCTAGAATATAGTCACACTGTTTCACGTTATGAAAGGAATAATGTAAACGTGTAAAGAGCAATTTCAGAGTAAAAATCGATATGAGAGCGTGCTTGTTTTGACTTTGTGGCTTAAGGAGCAAGGTAAAGTAAAACTTTTTACATCAACTTGTCTCTGCGAACTCGAACGTAACCGAACGCATATGATTATCTTTCATTTCATAAACTCTCGAAGAGGAGGTCCTTCTTCTCAAGTAAGAATGTCTTCTAGGCTTTTTGCACGTGAAAATTTCGGACTATATTCGATCTGACCGCAAACCTAAACTGCTCACTAAGCAAAATAATTAATTTGCCAGGAATTCTCTATAAACGAAATGCGTTACAGCCATATTCACTATGATTTCGCCTTACCTACATAATAGAACGCTTGGTGCGAAGATTGAATTAGCCCATGCGGATTGCCAGAGTAATAAAACAGCCAAAAGTTTCCAAAATTACGTACCGATGAAGGGCCTTAATCCAGCCTGAAGGGGCTATGTCACCCCACACGCATGCGCGAGCAAATGAAAACAAACTTGAAAAAGTTGGCCTGTCTTTTTCAAGTTCTGTCGGAGATTTTGGAAGGCTGTTTTTATCTGTCTAAATCTCAGCCATCGTTCGATAGTTAGCGAAGTTTTGTATTAAGAATCGTTCTATGGTGATTACAGAATAATTTTTTGGCGTTATTTTGAAATTGTTTGCCTGTGGAATGTTTTTACGTGGATTTACTGTGTCCTCTGTAAATGCCATGTTTTTGAACTGTTTGTGTTCGAGCATATTTTTGGAAAATAGCAGAGTTTACTTTCCCTTTTTATCAACGGACTGCTTATAGTGGAGTAGTATACCAATGATGCTCGGTTCCGTTTTTCTCGACGTCGCAGTGATTCGGCACGATCGAACAATTTTGCGCGATAATGTATGTTTCCCTAAGATCAAAACAAAGACTTGATGTCTCTTGTTCTATCAGCATCTAAATTATAAAATCACTAGCGACAGACAAGTCTAATTGTTAATGATTTGAAACAGTCTCGGTCTTTATCTTCGGTCTAGCGTCTTTTGTAGCTCGTTTGTAAAATACAACTTCGATTTATTTTGTTGAATAAGACAATATGCTGTTGCTGAATTTTTGTTTGCGCACTATTTTATGAATGGCATGCGTTTTTACCCCAAAACTACAAGTAAAATTGTCGTCACAATTTTATTCTTGATCTAGCATAACCAGAGAAGAAACGTTCCGTAAATTCTATCGAAATTTCCCTTATCTAAACCCATTTCGCTTGTTAACGTCTCTAACTTCGGAGCCTTGGACGTGACAGAGAAAATGGAGAAAGTCACGCGTTATTAAAAAACAATAGGATTTTGACAGTTGAAAGTAATTTGCATAACCTCAGAGCGCACATGGAGAAAGTCACGCGTTAAAAACAATAGAATTTTGACAGTTGGAAGTAATTTGCATAACCTCAGAGCGCATGCTCTTCAGCTGACATAGCCCCTTTAATCACACGGCGGCCATTTT